AAAATTAAACAAACACAAAAGTTTGACTCATTGTCCTAAATCCATCTCCGAAGATACAGAAGGAAGATGAAGAACATCAAAGGTTAACCTTAAAACAAAGACTTTTGGTACAAATGCCTTGTAACCGCTTTTCAAGTATGCAGGCAATGACATACTCACTTGGATGCTGTCCCACTCCAGGTCTGTAATAAGTACACCCATATATAAAATATCTGCCATCAAACAAAACTGTAGATCTTCACTGAGACTTGGATAAGTTTGTATGAGAATGCATCCAAAAAATGATTCATTAATGATAAACTGTGTCAGGTGATTCCTTTTCAAATGACTTTTCTTCCCATCGTTGATGTTTTAGTGACTGGATTCAAGTTTTGGGAACTTTTCTCTCCCCTAGGGAAGGGATAACATTTCTTAAAGGATCTCAGATATCATCACAATGACTGCTTTGCGATCAGGCCAGGCTTTGAATTTAATGCAAAGGCAATATTTGACTGGAATTTTCCATTTGTATTAAATAATTTTCTGTGACTAAATAATCTGTCAGTGAGTGGCAATGATTATGGCAATTGTACAGTTTAGGTCACTCATCATTTCAGTGGACAATATAACTTGGCACTGGGAATTAATGAGAGGATTATCATGGCAACATGATGAGCTACTCTTGTTTGACTTTAAAACTAAATGCATTACAACTTATCTTAATGAAGTCCTATTTGGAATTAAAAATCTATAGGAAATCTAGAAAATGTCCTTTCCTAATCTTCTCTATATGTTTTTATAAAAAGAATATGAACTTCTATTTCAAGCTCAAATTAGCTCGTTAGCTGAACAAGACACTAAGGAAGCCTCACGGGCAAATACAAGTTTTTGTGTTTTTGAAACATAACATACCCAACAATACCCATTAGGATTTCAGAAGTGAACAAATTCATATTTTATCTCTGTTTACAACATTTTGACATGCATGAGAGCCCTACTTCCCTTTTGTTTTGTTAAGTAACATGACCTTCTTGTTTTAGACTGTCATGCCTATAGTTGTTTTTACCAGATTCAAGCTAAACTATCTCTTTGCAACTTGCAAATCTTTCACATGTCTACACTGCAAAGGCCTGAAAATTCAAAATTGAAAGCCTAGTTCTCTTTTTTTCAACCTGATCCCTTATTGCTCTCCTCAGCATCTACCATGCAAGATTATCCTAGCACAAAGCATGCTAGGATGCACATTTTTGTCTCTGAATTCAACTCAAATGTTGACATACTCTTTTAATTACGTCATAGGCTAAATATTTAACTATACAGCATTGTCCATTCAGAATGCCAGTCAGGACTCCCAGATACCATAGTAATCTTGTCAACATAATTTTGATTAGGGTGAGTTTATATAAAATATAGGCACTCATTTCCAATTTATAGTTTTTTCTCTTAAATACAAACTATGGAAAGCTAAAGAAAGGAGAGATTATTATACAAAAATAAGAGGTATTTTCAGCAAAGGCTATTATTTTTAATATTTGCTTAATTTTAGAAACATATTTCATTGGAATGAAAAATGGCCACAAACTGTTCTAACACTGTACAACTCAGTGTGGAGATGCCTCAAAAAGTTAAAAATAGATTTATACATAATGCAGCTATACTACTCTTAGGCATATATTCAAAGGACTCCATGTCCTACTGTTGAGATGCCTCCTTGTCCATGTTTATTGCTGCTTTATTCATAAGAGCCATTAAACGGAAAGAGTCTGGAGGTCTAGCAACCAATAAATGTGTAATAAAACTGTGGTGTATTTAAACATTTGACTATTATTCAGCTATTAAGAAAAAGGAAATTGTGAAATTTCAAGTAAATGGGTGTAACTGGAAGCAATCATTCTAAGTGAGATAACCCTGATCCAGAAATACAAAATCACATGCTTTTTTTTTTCAGATATATATGTTTTACTAGGAATACCCATAGATGTCAGGACATTACTAAGGAACTATGGAGAAGGACTTTTAAAGGAGTGGAGACAGAAGGCACTTCTATAAAGTGTTAAAAGGTAATAATGGAAGAGGAAGTGTTAACCTGGGGTTTGGGAATAGAGATTAGGACAGAAGAGGGAGTGTGGGAAGAGATAATAACATCAAAGAGATTTCAAAAATAAATATATGGAAACCTGATGCTGTAGATATATGCAATGGCCAACAACTATAAAAAAGTAGCTCATACCAGTCATTGGGATTTTTGTTACCTGCTAGTAGGGGTGTCATCCTATATGAGGTCTCTTCCCTGTCTCTCGGTATCCTTACTAGAGAAGAGTTATTGGCCACTGAGGTCCAATAGGCCACCAAACATTACAAACTTTTGCTGTTGTTCTTGGTTTTCTCCAGAACTTAACAGTAAGATGATATTGCTGAAGATATCACGTGGTTGAATCATAGGACATGAAGATATCAAGTTGGTACTGACCTGGAAACTTCACCTCTACTGTCTAGCTTTCAGAGTGTGAGATGGTGCCATGCAAGCTACCAGAAAGCAATGTAATAGTCTTACCCAACTGTGAACACTGTGACCTACATTAATGACTGGTTGGGGAAGACATGTCCATTGATGTTAATATGGCTATAACCATCACCGGAGCAACCACCAACTTTCTGATTGGACTTATGGCCTGCTTCATGAGACAAAACCCATACCTGGAACTATTATCGGTCTAAGAACTTATAGCTAGACAGGTCGTAGGCCACATGGAAAAGCCTACTACTTTTAAACTGATAAATGGGCACAATGTTAAACTGACTTCTAATGACTTATCTTTATACCTACAGATTAATATATCTCCCAACAGTCACCAGAGGAGTTTATGATTATTCATAGTAGATGGTGACTAATACGGAGAACCATAACTTGCCAACATGCATAGAATATCAAAGTGCAGAATGCTCAGCTCTAAAGGAAACATATACCACCTCCACAAGCTCAGCACTAATTATAGAAAAGGAGGAAAGAGTGTAAGAGTGGCTGATTACAACAAGGATACATATTTTCTCGACACAGCAGGACAGCTGCACATACAAACAGTGGTTTCAACAGCACCCACAACACCTATATGAGTCTAAGGAAATCCAATTCTAGCATGGATAAGAGAATTGGGCATACAATTCCAGCAGAAATTATAGAACTATAGGTAACTGTCAGCTGCTGGAAAACGGAGAGATAGTAGTTTTCTCTAAGACTGTATCCTAGTAAGTCAATCACTCTTCAGTGAGATAACATATAATCAAGCATATTTCAGCAACAAAAAATTATCTTGAAGTTTTTTGTGAAGGACACAAATCTGGGAGGGTAAATGAGAGGAATAAATTAAGGAAGAGTTAAGGGTGTATGAATATGATCAAAACACACTGCATGAAATTATCAAATAACTATTTGAATTTCTCCTTGTTTAAATGAATTTCATACTTGCACAAAAATACCAAGATTACCCAGAACTTTTGTCCATTAATACTTTCAATACATATATAGTACTTTATTTGAGCTAACAGATAGCCATTTTTGATAATAGATATGTGTCATTTGCTATGTAGGCTATTCTATCATGTGTCACGTATCAGTATTCTATAATATGCTGTATACAGATGCCTGACTTTATATCTCCTGTTTCTTGCTAATATTCTATATATTAGCAAAAGTCCCAAGAAAAATCTTTCCTCATTTAGGAGAATGTGCAACTAGAAAGAGTGGATCCAATAACTTGAATATTGCTTCCAGAAGCTCAAAAATGAATACATATTGAAATACATTACATTAAATATAAACATATTCACATGCAGAGGACATGTGTACTATAGAAGTAGTACTGATTATTAAACACCTTCCTGGTTGAGGACATAATTTGTTCTATTATGGTATATCAGTAGAAGAGTACAACCATTTTTAATTTATCTATGATTATTTTGCTCATGATGTATTAATTTATTATTCTGTGGTTACTTTGTACATATGTATACCAAATTTGGCCATTCCAAACCCCTATTGCCGTTTCTCATGCCACATCTCTTGCTGGAGTTTTCCCATTTCCCAAAATCTACCTTCCACTTTGTTCATTTTTTAACTTAAAAAATGTTTAAGTTTAAAACATAAAGACTCTACATATCTCCTAAACAACAGTTATTTATCTACATGGTTGCAAAATTCTGAGAGCAACCCTCTAGAATAAGAGGAGAAAAAAGTACCCACACTTCTCATTCTGAAATCTATACCTTTCTATTATATGTCCGACCAGAGACTTGTCAACCAATGAGTAAACACTTGTCTATTTATGTAATTTGTTTTTGATCACTATATGTTTCCACCTTAGGAAATGTCATATTCTTTCTCAACATACAACTATTATCCTATTTATTTTGTCTGTGCAGAGAGGCCTGGGTGTGGTATGTTTTTGTGTATGTAATGTTGAAAATGTGTATATAATTATATACATTTAATTTCAAATATAAGTAAAGGCTACATCCCCTGATTTTCTCATTGCTTTTTTAAGACTATGAAATAAACAATTCGCACAAATAGGAACAGAATAATAATGAAATGACTTAAATACTCCTCTCTGATTTAAGAGGTTAGAAAAAAATCAACAACAAATGTAAGCAGTACTGTAATGCAAAATGCTTTAAAATATCAAAAATTTTGACAATGGCTACACTATCTAAGTAGCGATTAAAAATTAGAATAATTACGAATTTTAGTTTTGCCTAGGCTCTAATAATTACCCCAAAGTGCAAAGTTAAAAAAACTACATTTTACCAAATCATCTAGTAAACAAATTCTTTCATGTGATGCCAGGCTACATTGTTTCACTGTTAAAACCTTATCACTACATGATAATTTATTATATAGAACAGCAAGCAGCAGGCAGTTAATGGAGGTTCTCAGTATCTGTCTGGTTACTTCTGGGTGAGAGAACAATCTTTGGGGGGAAGAGATGCTGGAACAAATGTAAAGATAATGTTTAAGTACCTACTGTTTAATCCAGTGCTGATAGATGCTCTTAATCACTCCAATCAGGTCTCTTGCAGATGCTGTGATAATAGGGTTGATTAATTCATTCATGCCTGAAAACAAAACAAAACATACATCAAATAGTGATCGAGGGTAGCTTGGAGGACTAGGGAATTTTATGCATAATGAGATACCAAAATGGATTACCAGAGACAAAAGGAAATGAATAGATAGTTACATCTAGCCCTTAGTGGTTGCAAGGTAGAGTGTCTAACAGTCCTTTTACCATCTGACATTCCGTTTGACCTTGCAGCCTTTGAAAAGAGTGAGAGAAGATAGGAATGCCACTAGCAGGCTTCACACGTCACTCCCTGGTCACAAGGTGCTCTCAGTTTTGATGAGTTATCCCAGAAAAATCCCACAGTCTCTAGTCAAACTCACAGCATGATTGGAGGGAAGCAACATTCTTTTCCTCTGTCAGCAGTCTTCTGAGAGGTTCTCCTCACTGAAGCTGTCTCACTTCCTAGTGACACACATGGAGGAGACTCAGCTGGCCACTGCTTGTGAGAATAGCTGCTTCTGCAAATCAGATTTCTTCACAAAGCTGTCTTGCATTTGCCCTGCTCATGTTTGCAGGTTGCTTCTATGTAGGGCGAGTATGGACACCAATGACTACACCCCATCATCCTGCATTCCATTTTATCTGGTGAACCCCTGCGCTGTCATGCCAATTTATCTGAAATATCCTATTATACATCCAGTCCTTATAGGCACTGTTTCTAAGAATCTAGTAGTCTGTGTTTTGAAGACTCTTTTAATAAAGAATTTATTAGACATTATATTTTGTTGTTATTTTTCGAGACAGGATTTCTCTGTGTAAATTCCCTGTCTGTCCTGTAGACCATACTAGCCGAGAACTCCCATAGATTGGCCTGCCTTTGCCTTTCAGGTGCTGGAATTAAAGACGTGCATCCCAACTGACTGGCTAGGCATCATACTTTCAGCTACAGTATAGGCCATGTATAAAATCATACTTAGAAAGTCAAGTGGATACATTATAAAGAGGTGTATCTTATTTGGTAAAATAAGTGAAATAAAAGAACACATAGGGAGACAGCATTGCCTGGGCTAGAATTAGGACTACAAGACAGCCGTAATTTGCACCAAAGGTGCTGGGGAAAGCTCTTAAAATTGGGAGGAGAGGGCATAAAAGATAGCAGTAAAGCAAATAATAAGATAGTCTCTACCTAAGCAATGAGCCTCAGTTTGTCCTTTTAACATCTTATATATGCTGCAAGTTCTTTCTATTGAATACACTAGTTAAAACTTTCTCTAGGAGAATTTCAAAACAATCGCCCTTCCTGTTTTATTCTCCCCATGTCACCTGGCCTCATAGTCTCACTTTCTTCATCTTAGAGAGTTAATAGAATAAATGATGGCTACTTTTAGGATGTGTCACTAAGATTACATGAATCTCTCAAGTAAAATTCAGTGAGGTGGGGCTTAATATCAACAGGTGCACAATGAACACTGTCAATCCTTTCTTTTTCCTATGCCACTTATAAACTAGGATTCTAGAAACACACGAGAGTCTCAAGAAATGCTTCAGAAAAACTAATCCCAGCAGCACAGGCATTAAGGGCAAAATTGAATAACTGGGACCTACTGAAACTAAGACGCTTCTGTAAAGCAAAAGACACTGTCACTAAGACAAAAAGGCAACCCACTGACTGGGAGAAGATCTTCACCAACCCTGCAACGGACAAAGGTCTGATCTCCAAAATATATAAAGAACTCAAGAAACTAGACCGTAAAAGGCTAATCAACCCAATTATAACATGGGGCACTGAGCTAAACAGAGAATTCTCAACAGAAGAAGTTCAAATGGCCAAAAGACACTTAAGGTCATGCTCAACTTCCTTAGCGATCAGGGAAATGCAAATCAAGACAACTTCAAGATACCATCTTAAACCTGCCAGAATGGCTAAAATCAAAAACACCAATGATAGCCTTTGCTGGAGAGGTTGTGGAGAAAGGGGTACACTCATCCATTGCTGGTGGGAATGCAAACTTGTGCAACCACTTTGGAAAGCAGTGTGGCGGTTTCTCAGGAAATTCGGGATCAACCTACCCCAGGACCCAGCAATACCACTCTTGGGAATATACCCAAGAGATGCCCTATCATATGACAAAAGCATTTGTTCAACTATGTTCATAGCAGCATTATTTGTAATAGCCAGAACCTGGAAACAACCTAGATGCCCTTCAACGGAAGAATGGATGAAGAAAGTATGGAATATATACACATTAGAGTACTACTCAGCAGTAAAAAACAATGATTTCTTGAATTTTGCATGCAAATGGACAGAAATAGAAAACACTATCCTGAGTGAGGTAAGCCAGACCCAAAAAGAGGAACATAGGATGTACTCACTCAGAATTGGTTTCTAGCCATAAATTAAGGACATTGAGCCTATAATTCGTGATCCTAGAGAAGCCAAATAAGATGGTGAACCCAAAGAAAGACATATAGTCATCCTCCTGGAGATTAACTTTGATTGGGCGATGAAAGCAGATAGAGACAGAGACCCAAATTGGAACACCAGACTGAAATCCCAAGGTGCAAATCAGGAGCAGAAGGAGAGAGAGCACGAGCAAGGAACTCAGGACCGCGAGGGGTGCACCCACATACTGAGACATTGGGGATGATCTATCAGGAAATCACCAAGGCCAGCTGGCCTGGGTCTGAAAAAGCATGGGATAAAACCGGACTCGCTGAACATAGTGGACAATGAGGACTGCTGAGAAGTCAAGATCAATGACACTGGGTTTGATCCTACTGCACGTACTGGCTTTGTAGGAGCCTAGGCAGTTTGGATGCTCACCTTACTAGACCTGGATGGAGCGGGGCGGTCCTTGGACTTCCCACAAGGCAGGGAACCTGGACTGCTCTTCGGGCTGATGAGGGAGGGGGACTTGACTGGGGGAGGGGGAGGGATATAGGAGGCGGTGGAAGGGAGGAGGCAGAAATCTTTAATAAATAAAAAAATAATAAAATAAAAAAAGAAAAACTAAGGAAGAATAGTAGTGACAATAAAAGTGATTATAGGTTTGTTTTGATTATTTCGTTGGGTTTGGTGTGGTGACACAGAAATGGAATTCAAAACTCTAGAGATAAAGGCAGGAGGATCAGAAGTTTGAGGCAAGCCTGGATTATACAGTGAGAAGCCAAAAATACTTTGTATTTAGAAGAAGGTAAAAATTATGGACTAAAAGAACCCTCAGAGAGGATGAGTAATAAAAAATCATCCCCAGAAGCTTCAGAATTCAAAGTTATCTGTCACAGGGTATAGGCAAGAAAAACTCAGATCTATTCCACTAGGCATTATTGGTTCGCCCTTTTCACATAGAAGCAAGAAACAAAGCTTTCATTAGTTTCTAATTGCCTTTTTATCTCCTTACAGCCAGTGATTTTACTTTTAAAATCGAATCTGCAATTTTAAAAGTGAATATAAACTAATGATTAGTGATAGACCTGAAGGCAATCTCCATGATCTTCACAGAGAGTGTGCAGGTATTTTTCTCAACACACTTACTTTAAAAACTGAAGAAAATAGTTATAGATTTAGGTATATTTCCATGGGAAGATAGATTATAGACAGTTCTAATGTTTTGTATCCAAGGAAAATGCTACAAACGAAAGCAGTTTATATATAGACAGCATTTGGGATATCATGATGTTTACATTGATATGTCTGATGGTGACAATAACTCAGAAAATTATTGTGATTTTCAATTTAATATCAAAACAGACTAATAATTTTAATGTTAGACTTCATTAATCCTTTACCAAAACTTTGCTGCTAGAGTGTAAAAATCTATTGATTAACTTAAAAAATAACTGAAGCAGTTATCATAAAGGACTCACCCTTTACTATACTTAATGTTAATGACAGAACCAGGTCTGGAACTTGTTTTAATGCAAAAACCCATTTTCTTTTTTCATATCATATTTTCCACTATTATTTCTACATTAATCTGTGTGTAGATATTCTCTTTCATATAGTCATATCATTTGAAGGTAGCATTTGCATTATTAAGATATATTAGTACTCTAAATTAGACAACCACATACATGCTCCTAAAACTCAGTGTCCCTCCACTTTCTTCAATATTCTGGACACTGCTATTTTTTTCTGATGTGCATACCAAACAGCTACATATTCTTCTCATCAGCTCCCTGTCCTCCCCACCTTCATAGAGGAGCACAAATATATGCACATTCTTTATATTAGTTTATCCACTTTCGTTGGCATTCGGAACTGGAAATGGGACTCCTTGACTGCTTTTCTAACACTACAATCTGCTAAATGACTGACCAAGAAAGAAGGGATACAGTAGTAAAATGAAAAATACGTTGTTTACAAACTAAGTCAGCACATTAGATCTCATGCAAAACTTAGAGCCTGTCCAGCAAAGCATATTGCCTCACAGCAATAACCTGGCAGTCACAAGAAACATGCAAAATCAATTTCTAAATTGAGTAGATCAAAAGTGAAAACACATAGAAGATTGTCACAGATTTAAGATACACACCCACAATAAATTCTGAGGTAGTAAAGCAATCACAAGGCATGTCCAAAGGCAATGATTTCACTGATCCATAATCCTCATGTTACTATTTTCCATTTATTCAGCTGCAGATTTTGTAACCATTTTGCTGTGCATAAAATTTTCAAGCTGAAAGCTTAACCAAGAATACTGCTTCTGTGTGCTGAAGAGAATCTGTCAAGGAAAAGGCAGGTGTGGCTCAATTTTCCCAGTGTGATTGCAATGCAATAACATGGTATTTTGGAAACTTTTCAGAGGAGCTCTGACCAGTTTTGCAAAGTGTCTGTTCATTTCAGTACAGTGATCCCCATTTGCAAAAGAGATGTGCTCTCACTCATACTGGTTTTTGCAGACTGAAAAATGAGGAAGCATAGTTTTTTGTTCACTTTTATCCCCCTAGTTAACCACAAAGGAGCATGTCTTAAAACTCCAGCAATGGTTAGTTATGATATATAACAGTGTCCAGAAATTGATTTCCCAAGGTTCTTCCTCCATTTCTTCTTAGATAAAAAATGTCAACATGTAATTATGTATAATGTGAGCAAGAGAAAATGACTCAGACTAATTTACACTGAGAGGAGACTATCTAAAACCTTGTTCTTGTATTGTGTAGTATTGTGTTAACCTCTGAGCTCAGAACTGACAAAATGGCTACAACAAAGAGCTCCTAAAGTATAGCAGTTAGAGTCCAGTTATTTCTTTGTCTAATATATTCATAGACCATACCGTGAGCCTGAAACAGGCAACTCACATCCTTATTGCAAATGCAACAATTTTTACTGACAGGCACAAAAATTTGCTCTATTGTCTTCTTTCATGTTTTTTTTTTTTTCCACAATGGTTTTCTTCTTGGAGGATCCTGCTTTCCCTCCAACTCTTAAGCATCATAATGGATAGAGTTTAATGGGAGGTCATAAAACAAGGACATACAAAATTAAAATTGGTCCCTATGCTCCATTTAGGGCTAGACGGGTTTTTTTTTTTAGGCCTTTCCCTTGTGGTAGTATTAACTTACATATAGAACCACATATTTTGTCTAATATCTCACAGAATCTTATAACATAGGACGTTTGCTCTTAAAACCTAGCATGTCATAGATTAGGTACAGCCAAGCTAAGCATTACGAAACTTTCTAAGGTCCCTGATATCGTCTACTTTTCACATCATACCAGCTTAATTAAAGACAGTAATTTCAAAAAGTAAAAAACAATCTTAAAATTTTAAAAAGCATGAAGTAGGATCAAAACCAAGTACCATTGTCCTTGGCCTGGGTTTTGATCCTACTGCATGAACTGGCTTTGTGGAAGCTTAGCCAGTGTGGATGCTCACCTTCCTAGACCTGGATGGAGGGGGGAGGACCTTGGACTTTCCACAGGGCAGGGAACCATGACTGCTCTTCGGACTGGAGAGGGAGAGGACTGGGAGGAGGGGGAGGGAAATGGCAGGCTGGGAGGAGGAGGAAATTTTTTTTCAATAAAAAATAAAAAAAAAAATTTAAAAAGCAGTGTATTGTCTCTGTTTATGGCAAAGGGTGTCATAAATCACACTTGTATGACTATATATTTATTTTCACCATTCAAATATGCTTCATTGGGATAAGAGTTTATCCTATATGACTCCTTTTGTTACTCATTTAACCCAGGAAATAGAAATAAACCATCAAGTTTGATTGAAAAAAAATTAAATAATGCTTCTGATAATCCCCATTTTTTTCCTTGGTTCCATATATATATATATAATATCAAGCCTTCCAAAGTTCACTTAGCCTGAATCAATTCCTTGGAAATTGTTTATACATTTGGACCCTCTCTGTTATAAATATTCTTGATCCTCGAGTGAAAAGGCCAAGCAAGATAGTAAATCTGGGCTATTTTCATATGTGAAGGCAACAGAGTAATGGAAAGAGCTATAACCTGTTAAGGATCTTGGCTTGAAATCAAAATGCGCACAATTTTCAAATGTTAATCAGACTTTAAGAAGGTTATTTTTTTTTTCAGAAAAGGCAACAGAACCAGAATAATTGCTATAATTTGAGCAAGTTGTTTTACTTCATTAGCATGGATTTCTTCATTTCTAAAGCGAAGGAAAATAATTGGGTGTAAGAATGTAGTGACGCTTTCTCAGTGCTTTAGTACATTGTACTGCACAATAAGGAAGGGTCATACCAGGTTTTGATGATTGAGAATTCAAGATAAAATTTAGGACCAATAGTAGATAGACTCCAAATGGCCTGTCAAATCCAGATTCTGGGTAGATGCTTAAATTTAATTATTTAACTTAAAATTGTTATTAGGAGAATATGTTATCATAGAGTTACATTTTGTATGAAAATGATCAAAGCCTGGAAATAGTGTAAACCAGGATCCAGAATCATCAGGAGCTGGGAACTTACAGATGCTTCTAAAACCCTAAGTGACTTTGGCAGTGTTCCCAATGTTCTCCCTTTGTTAATGGAAGCAGACTGAGCACCTAGAGCTAAAGGAAGAGACAATGAGCAAAGACTGAGGATTGTTTATAAATACCACAAAATTAGTGCAGTTAGAATTGAGATAAAGTCACACCCAATTTACTTTCTGAACACTTTTTAGATGCAGTTTTAATTCTACACCAAAGAAAAGTCTGTGTGGAATTAAAATTTTATGTTGGGAACCAACTTATGTATATGAAAATAAAATAAATTTCTTAACTAATGCACTGAGGTTTTACAGAAAAAATATAACAAACTAATCAGCACTTCTTAAAGGCAGCATTTTCTGAGAAATCTTGATTGAGGGAGCCATTATTGAGTTAACAGAAACCTGGCTCTAGAGAGATTTCCAGGAATCTACAAGGATGACCCCAGTTAAGACCTTAAGCGATAGAGGAGATGGGACCTGATCTTGACTTCCCCTGTAGTCAGACTGATGAATATCTTAAATATCAGCATAGAAGCTTCATCCAGCAACTGATCAAAACAGAAGCAAAGACCTGCATTGGAACACTGGACTGAGCTGCCAAATTCCAGTTGAAGAGTGAGAGGAATGAGAATATGAGCAAAGAGGTCGCGACAATGATGGGTTCACCCACTGGGAAAAAAACAAGCATAAGACCAAACTAATCCCTCTGAATGTGGTTGATAGTAGGGAGGGCTTTGGACCTTCCACAAAACCATATGCCTTACCTTTTCTAAGGATTGGATGGGGGTGGGGTGGGAGGGTGTCTGGAGGGAATGTGAGGAGAGAAGGGAGTGGGAACTTGTATTGGTATTTTTTAAATCTAATAATTTTTTAAAAAACTCAAAAGATACTAAAAAAAAACCCAGCATCTCCTATCCTTTGGCCAAACATGACAAATGAGCTAATGCATACAGTTGTTAATACTAGACTTTAAATTTTCAAGGTAGCTTCATACAGTACTATGTACTAGAATGGTTTAGCCTTGAATTTGTATGAAAATAGCTCCAAGTTCCTATTCGTGTCTACAAATAAATATCACTAAATGTAAAGGTTGCATTTGCATTCAGCACATCCAAGCCATCTTGCAAAATGGTGATGCCACAGCATTTGGGAAAAGCCAACATGCATAGCCAGCATGTACATATTCATGTATTCATGTAGCCTGTGGTTTTACTGTAGCCATCTGTGACTGGCCCACATCCCAGTCAGAGAGTAACTTATAACCTAAGGGAATCAAATTTAATATCTCTTACTGATTGGACTATGTCACAGAATTTTTCAATATAATGATTCCCCAAGGTCAGGCAGTTTTAAATTTCCTCAGTGATTTTTCTCTAGGTAAGACTATAACAGACACAGAGATATTTTTCAATGTGAAACTTTTTACAACTGAAATTTAGAACTAAGATGGGTATTAAGAAAGAATTCTACATCAGCTATGATCGTGTCTAATTTTATTCTGAAAAACAATTTAGTTCTCTCTGCAGATTCATAAGAGTCTTCTTGAGTTTATGCTGAGGGGTGTTTATACTACTTACCCTGACCTGCTTCATCTAGGTAGATTTTTCTTTTCAGTTTTGTGACAGTTTAGAGGAGAGAAGAAAGCATTGCTGTATCAGATGCCTTGATGTGGGTTATACCTACTGCTGAAAAGAAAACTAGTCATTTCTTCTCTTAGTAGCTCTTCCTCAAAGAAGCTGGTACTAGACAAAGTGACTGAAGTTTTTATTGTATAGAATCCTATGGCATGTTGAAAAATATGTGTGTCTAGATTTATCTTCATGTACCTTGGAATGAGAAATCTATGGTGCCTCCAGAATAGGAATATGTCTGAGTTAAAAAGCTAAAATGGGTGAAACAAAAAACTCCAACCAAAAGTATACTTGAGAATGTAGAATTAAGGTGCTATCATCATAGATAAATGTAGAGACAATCCAAATAAAAGATTTTACAATATTAAATAAATAAGACCCTTGATATAAGAATTAAAGGGATGCAGACAGATATAGATTGAAATAAAGTAGAAGTTTGAAAACTTTCCTCAACCAACATTTTCCTCTCTTAATCAAATTTGGTAGTAACAATATTTAATTGTAAAATCACATCTAGGTCTATTCTTCCCACACTGTTCATTTTTTGAGCATACTGCTTAACCCAGCCTTTCAAAGAGACTAGACATCTAGGAGAATATTACCTTATAAGTCACCTAGTATCACCTAACAAAAGATAAAATGCGCTAAATAATAAACTATTGTTGTTGTTGCCTTTCAAAAAGAATTATTTTCTAATGTAAAAATAAATCACTTACTTATAAGAATTATCTCACAGTGAACCAGCATCAGCTTTTAAAAACCATTTGGATCTGATCTGTCAAATTAAAAAACATAAAATAATTTTAGGTAAGTTTGTAGTTATGATTATATTAAAACCACCAATCAGTTACTGAATTCTGATATTGTCTCCCATACGTATTATACACTGAACAAAAGCCTTTTGAAGAAGCAAATGCCTTGTCAGAAAATAGGAAATGAGTTGGGTGGGTAGGGAGGCAGGGAGGAACAAGAATTGGGGAGGGGAAAATATGATTTTATCATGTTCTTATTGTGTGAAAAATAATGTTTTTAAAATCTTATAAAAGTACAAAAAAGGAATGAATGAATTTTTTCTTTTACCTGGTAATAGAAGTTGACATATATTTTTTGTTTAGAATGAGAAAGTAACTGGGGTTCAAGATGTAATCTGACCTTGAATTAGAAGACCATGTTTCTGCTCCAAGAATAGAAAGTGCTTCTATGTAACCCACACCTGACTGGGACAATAAATCAACTTAAACATCCTTATTGAATAATGTGAGTTAGTGAAATTCTTCATCTAGCTCCCAGTTTCTAGAGTCTGTACAGACATGATTCTGGTTAATAGCTTACAGTCCTATTTTGGGACACTCCATTTGCATCTTAGTTCTTGGCTAATGCAAATGTAGCTGTGGTGTACATGAAAACTCTGCCAAGAAGTACACTGCCCCCTTTCACTTGACTTACAAGACTATACTAACAAAGCTTACTTCAGTTTTTAAATCCCAAATGCTTCCTGAGTATATGATCAATGCTAATAACAATCAAGCAGCTAGCTAAAATGTCCTCTTTTACTAGAAGTCACTCCCTAGTAATTACTCTAATTATCGAGGCTTCTCACACTCTTGCCTTAGCCAGTCAGATATACTGAAATTTCCACTCTCTCCCCAAATCTGAAATGTCTTTATCTTAAAATTTTCTGAATACTTGTTTTTCCCTTCTGTATTTGACAACATAATTTCCTGGACACTAGATATAACACATACAAATATGATCACATGTGCATTATTGTTTTCAAAAAGCACTTAGTATCAATTTCCTTTTTTGTTAGTATTCTATATATAAACACAGTAGGAATAGTTCTTTCCTATTTTACAAGGAAATAGTGGTAAAGCCAAGAAAATCAGTCTGTTACACCACCGGCGCCCTTGCGGGAAGCCTAAAGTGCATCATGATATTGAGAGGTTCTTGAGTGATTTCAAAATGACATCTTTTAACATTTCCAATGAATAATGCATGAATCTTAATCCACGAGCCTTGTTAGGCAGCAGGAAGAAGTAAAATGAGCACTAGATGAGCTGCTGAGAGATGTAGAATTTAGTCTTTTCTCTGTTAAAGTAAAGAAGTACTTGGCCTAGTCACTTCAATATTTTGAGCCTCAGTTTTTTTCAGTTGTAAAACATAAGCTATTTTACTTCTCAAAACCACAAAGAAGTACCACTCATTCCCACAAATAGGCAGGATAACAGTCCAATGAATTTTTTATTCTCTTTTCTAGGAGGCTGATTTTTGAGAGACCAACCTTAAAAGGAAATTCATTTTAATAGGCAAGGGAAATGTGACTGCCTGTACTCCATTTCTCAGGACTGGGTAGGAGTTCAATTCTATTTCTCCTTTTAGTAATCTGTGATATGAGAGGAGACAGTACTACAACAGAAAAGACACATTTTCTTCTCCTATGCATCTCAGCTACCTAGCAGAAAAGGGCACGAAGTCTTTTCATTCCTAAAAGTCTTCTGGTGGAATTCAGTAAGCATTTTGGAACAGGTGATGTTTGATTTTATGTTTCCTAGAGGTTTTCTTTCTGCCCTCACAATACCCAGCACCGTATTCCACAGTCCCAGCCAGAGTGGTTATGCTAGATGTATTCACCACGATAAGATTACTACAAACGTCTAGGCAAAAAAGGCAAGGGCATACATTCCCAAGAACAAAACAAATTTTCTGCAATCAAACAGACTTCTTGAAAGATGGCTTTTTACAAAATATTTGGCGATGTGGCTAGCATATTGTCTGCTTAGGCTAAAGAAATTCAATTCATCCCATAAGATTAATGTATTTCTTGCATACCTCAATTTTACAACAGCCGGAGGAAAGAAATACTCCTTGCTGAATGACCAAAGCTCTCTGAAATAGCCATTTCTTCTTCTTCTTCAATAAAATTCTAATTTTCCTTCCTTGGAAAATTACCCCTGGATAAAAGCACATCCAAGGACATGGCTCTTGACAGCAAAGCAAGAGGACACTTCCTTGCAATATAATCCCCAGTCATGTTCCACATCCCTCTTCATCCCTGCCCTTACCTCACATAGAAGCCCACCTTTTCCTTTCTTTTAATCTCTAAACATAGCTCCTAGCAGTTACATGCCAGTAATAGCTTTCTGTTTGTTTGAAGGTAAAAGGCATATTTCTTAATATTTCCAAACAAGCAAAAAGAACACAAAAGATAAAACATTTTCCCTTACATTTTATAGAAATTAAGTCAATTACAGTGATCAGAAATGTGAATTAAACTTCACAGCATACCTTCCATTGTTTTTTTTTATTGTACTGATTGTTGTTCTGATAACCATAGCTTATCTAAGAGAATCAGAAAAACTCTGTCTGTTTGTCTTATTTTCCTCCTCTCACATTATAAGCATGCTTTATCTGCCAGGCTGCTTTTTTCCTAGTAGAATCTCTCTATAGTTTCTATTAACTACAATGCACTTTTATAATAAGAATATGTAATTCAGACAGAGAGGAAAATGAATTTATGCTGGTTAAAGTCTTGAGACACTATAGTTCTCATTTTCTAAAACATTTTGAAAGGGGCAATGAGTCAACTATTTTAGTTATTCAACAGTTTAAGAAATATCATCCCCAAAGTATTATAGCAAAGTATAGATAAAAATCACCAGTAATCTTTCTTAAAGCAAGCTAAATTACAAATATTCACCTTCCTATTTTGTCTGGTATCAGTTCAGCTAAATGCACTATTATAAAAAGAAACATTCCATTTAAAACTTACATTTTGCCAAGTTCAAAGTAATATTCTTCCTCCCACCTGAAGCAGACAACCGTTTGGTTATTTTTGCTTGTACAAACTCCATGGAAATGACCTTTATGGATAGTTCAAGTTCATTATATTTGTAATTATTTAGATCTGACAGATTAGTTAGAACCTGATGCCAACAGTCCAATTCTATATACCAATGGTGAAAGGCACATAGGAGAGATAATTATACATCAATAATTTAAGCCTACCGTTTCAGTTTCTGTCTTTTTCTTCAGAAGTCTCCAAAGAATTCATGTGACAGCCACTCCAACGGGGATGCTACCGATCTGTGCATCGATACAGCTCCTTTTTCTGAAAACAACCAATCTAATTCTCATTCACTCCCCCAAAAAGTAATGAAGGAGAGAGGGAGAGAGGAAAGAGAGACAGACAGACACACACGCGCATACACACACAGAGACAGAGAGAGAGAGAGAGACAGAGAGAGAGAGACAGAGAGACAGAGAGAGAGAGAGAGAGAGAGAGAGAGAGAGAGAGAGAGAGAGAGAGAGAGAGAGAGAGAGAAGAGTGCCAAAAGAAAAATGATGAAGGCAAAAGGAAAAGGGGCAGATAAAATTTTTCGAATTACCACGCCACTACCATGTTGGAAAATATGGTAGTGAGATGTCAGAGTGAAATATGAAAGCTGTTCTCATCACACTGAACATTTCCGTTTTCCAGTGCGTGAGCAGCTTTCTCTCTCTCTCTCTCTCTCTCTCTCTCTCTCTCTCTCTCTCTCTCCTCTTTCTCCTTTTCTTTCACTCTCTCATTAATGATTCAAGGCTATGCAACAGGCTGTACTTAGTGCTTGCAAAGCTTCACATTTAGCAGAAAAACCGATCCTTTCTATTTATAGGGCCATAGTGCATTGTCTTCCAGTTTTGTGGTTGCACTAAGCTTTGAGTCTGTGATAACACAGAACCTGTTTATTGTGTCATTTGCAGAAGCTTGGTGCCCTCTGGTCCCTTCTGTAGATATTAGACCATTGCAGTCTTCAGTTTGATCCTTTCTCACAGCTCTATATTTGTGTTTCAGTATCTAAATGGACATTTCTCTAAATACACAGTAGATTCCTATAGTAAAGGTCACTGAGAGAATGGCCCCTGCTTAGGGCATTCCTGAATTTAAAAACCTGTGACATATTGACACTGAAGTGAATATTCCACTCCTTATAGGTATTTAGAACTATAATCGCCCTTACTCTTCTTGTCCACCCACTCTTTGTTTTCCTCAGTGTCCCTGTGGTCAGGAAGTGTAGGTAGGCCTCTATTTCCTCCTTAAGTTTAGAGAACTTTAGGTCAAATGGGGCTGATTTTCTGTAAAATATGCTGTTATCCCAGGCTATTTAGGATGATGTCCTAAGGAACCACCGAACTCAGGTATCACTGAGCCCTGTGTGACACTATGTGAAGCACTAAATATTTTCTCCACCAGACACGGGAATATGAACAGGGGGAAACCTGAAACCCTCAAATAATAACTCCTATTCAGAACCTTTCACATAAGCCGTGGAAGAAATGAATGTTAGTGCAAGTCCATCCTCAGGCTAGGACATAACCTGAAAGGTGTACTATAGGGATGCTTGAAGGCCTTCTGCCTAAAAACACTCTTTTACTCTGCTTGAGGGACTAGAAGTAAACTTCTAGAAGTAAACATTTCTGAAATCTTGATTGCAAAATTCTAAGCTCCAAAAATTAGTCTTACTTGAAAAAGCTTGGTGGAGGATGTTGATCAAAACTAGAAAGAAATTTGTACTAGGAAGGGGATATGAGGGAAGCCTAAGACAGGCCAATGGGAAAACTGATTTGTCCAAGACTAGTTATGCTGATGGTCTCAAGTGCCTAAAATTATAAGGATAATTAAAGTAATCCAAATATGCATTGAACAAGTTATGGGTACAGTAGACTGAAATATATTAGCCCTGCTTTGCCTTTTTTTAAAAAAAAAAATTTTGTACTCTGAGACCTGGGGTAACATAAGAATAATGCTTTTCTTGTTTCTTTCAACTTGGTTTTCCACAGTCATTTAGTTTTAGTGTGGCAACCTCAACCCTCACATAGCTTTACTTCTATTTTAGATCTACTGAATACCTACTATGTGTAAAACAGTAGCTCAAAGAGAGCTGGGGAGGACGAAATGTGGAACAAAGAATGGGAGGTAGATGATGGTAAAGGGAAGGGTACCAACTCCTGTAGCTTTCTGCAATCTAGTAAAATAGATACTATTATTTTGCAATTTTCTTTCATATAAAACAACATAAATGTCATACCTAATTTTGTAAAATTTTGGAGGAATTCAGGTATTCAGAAGGGCTACTTTTGTTTATTTATTTTTTTAAATGTTCCCAGATATTTTTTTTTTTTTTTTTGGATGGGAGCTGGGCCAGTCTTCCAATAGGAGTAGGGTTTGGGTAAGGTTTTTAAGAATGACAGGGACTAACTGGGGACATCGCCTTGGGCTCCTGGGAGCCACTCTAGGTTCAAGTCTCTTGCCAACCCTAAGGTGGCTCCCTTAACTAAGATATGTGCTTCCCTGCTCCCCTATCCAACCTTCCTTTATCCCAATCTTCCTGTTTCCCCAAGTTCCCCCAATCCTCCCCTTCTCACTTTTCTCTCCCCGTCCCCCCTTATCCCCAACCCACCCCACCCCCAAGATCCCAATTTTCTCCCCGGCAATTTTATCTACTTCCCTTAGCCAAGAGGATAACTACATGTTTTTTTCTTGGGTTCACCTTCTTATTTAGCTTCTTTAGGTTCACCAGGTATACACTCCGTGACCTTTATTAATGGCTAGAAACCAATTATGAGTGAGTACATCCCATGTTCATCTTTTTGGGTCTGGGTTACCTCGCTCAGGATAGTGTTTTCTATTTCCATCCATTTGCATGCAAAATTCGAGAAGTCATTGTTTTTTACCGCAGCATAGTACTCTAATGTGTATATATTCCACACTTTCTTCATCCATTCTTCCATTGAAGCGGAGGATAGGGAACCTGAAATGACCCTATCCCATAGCAATACTGACGAATATCTTTCATATCACCATAGAACCTTCATCTGGTGATGGATGGAGATAGAGACAGAGACCCACACTGGAGCACTGGACTGAGCTCCCAAGGTCCCAATGAGGAGCAGATGGAGGGAGAACACGAGCAAGGATGTCAGGACCACGGGGGGTGCACCCACCCACTGAGACAGTGGGGCTGATCTATTGGGAGCTCACCAAGGCCAGCTGGACTGTGACTGAAAAAGCATGGGATAAAACCGGACTCTCTGATCATGGCGAACAATGAGGACTGATGAGAAGCCAAGGTCAATGGCAAGGGGTTTTGATCCTACTTCATGTTCTGGCTTGGTGGGAGCCTAGCCAGTTTGGATGTTCACCTTCCTAGACATGGACGGAGGGGGGAGGACCTTGGACTTTCCACAGGGCAGGGAACCATGACTGCTCTTTGGATTAGAGAGGGAGGGGGAGAGGAGTCGGGGGAGGGGGAGAAGAGTGGGGGGAGGGGGAGGGAAATGGGAGGCTGGGAGGAGGCGGAAACTTTTTTTTTCTTATTCTCAATAAAAAAAAAAAGAATGGCAGGGTATAGTGGTGCACGCCTCTAATCTCAGGTCTTGTCAGGTCAAGGCAGGAAGATCACCACCAGTTTGGGACAAAACTGGGCCTGTACTAGAGATGAACTGTTTATCAAAAAATGGGGGCCAAGTTTTGTCAAAATTCCTAATTCATGCTGCTTTGGAGTAGAGTCTTTCAATATAATTTCTGCCAAATAAGTTTTGAACACAGGGATATCTGTTTCCTTATGTGGAGCACGACTTTTGAGTTTTCAGCCTGTTGGTCAGAATACATATAAGCTAATCTTCATGTATTTTGAAACAAAATACCCACTGGTGAAATTTCCTGGCTTAGATTATATTTATCTTTCCTACTAACTCAAGGAATTTTAGTCTGATAAAAAGCAAAAGAATGCCCCTACAGAAATCTCTTAAATTTCATTCCAAATTAGTCAAATAATAGCATATCAAAACTAAATGACAGCTTTGTCTAAAATTCATTTTAAAGATGAAGAAAGTAAAAAATAAAAAAAAAGAACATGGTTCCAGGCTCTGGGTAAACTTGATAAATCTGAGCCCAGAACTTGAGTTTCTTTAATATTGCAATGTCCTCACTACAATAAAGCCTATCTGGCCAAAACCACACCATCTACCAAATTGGTGATTTACCTATATTTGCATTGTCTGTATTCAATCTTTTATCAGAGTTACAGAGAAAAAAGTCAAACAGCATATGTACTTGAATATTGGTTTATATGTCTCTATCGTTATATATAAAAGGCACATTGATTCACCTAGTTCTCCTTTAAAAAAAAAACAAGTCTAGCCCATGCAAATGAAGCAAACACACATGGTTCACTCTTTCATTCTTTGTCTATACTGTAATTATGAAAAAGAAAATATGTTAAGGTGGAAATAAAATAAATTTGAGCTTTTATTATCTGTTGGAAGATACAATATTTCTTTTTAATGACTGTTTCATTATCTCCTAACCTCTGCCCCATGATTCTAAAACTGTTGTTTCAGCTTCGCTTCTTTGTCAATATATCTATAAATATTATATGACATAGTACAGCTTAGCTTAACTTAGTTTGTGAAATATCTTTATACTACCAGGCCTATAATTTAAATGCCCAAAATTCCCCCACTCCCCCAATTTTTATGATTTTAATTTGTTAAAACTGTAATTTAATTATGACTACTGTGTGTTTAGCACTTTCAAATCTTCAGAGGACATTCTGCTTTCTTATACCAGAGCAAAGAACTAACAAATCCTCATCATCAATTGCACATCAGGGTGCTAGAATTAGCTCAAGAAAAACACTTAAAATATCTAAATCATTTTGTATGAGAGAAAATCACTATTAGTTAGCTAAACTGGTATACTCATTCCTTGTTTAAGTAAAAATACATTTTTCACCTGGACAAGAAGGTATTTATTTAAGGGCCTAAATGACAGGCACCATGATGTATTATCATAATCTTATTTTATACATAAAAATACCCTATGTCTTAGGTAGTATTTTGTTTCTACAGTATAGTTTTCAAATGTGCTCATAAATGATAAGCAATTTTCTCCAAACTACTACTCTGAGAACACTGAACCTTAATTTGGAGTTTTGATCTCAAGGTGATTTAAAGTCAGAGACTATCATTGCAAATCATGTAGCTATAGGGTGATCTATTAAGAAAGTATAGCTGGTATTTGATTCTATTAATATCTATAATGGAGCAGAGAATAAAAACTTAGAAATTCTGATTCAGGAGATTCAAAGACCTCAGAGAGAAATCTCCAGAGACTGGAGTTTATAATGTTATGGTGGTATTGGTAGATTATAGGTAGTTTTCCACATTTATGGGACCTCCTACACAGCCCTAAAGGTGCTGCAAAGTAACTTTAATATTAGTTTCAAGAAATTACAGAGTAAACCAACTCTTTAACTCTTTCCTTGAAATATATTTCAATTTTGATGAATTTATGTTTTAGTTTTTCTTGGCCGCGTGTTACTAAAATGATTATTAAAGATGGTAGAAAAGCAAATCTCAACTCCTAGCGTTTTTCTAAATCCAGAAAGTGAAGTGGAATATGTAGAGAGCTGTTTCTGTCCAAGACAAATGG